AGCGGCTCGTACTATGAACAGAAGAGCATTGCCGGCAAAGCCAAAAGAGACTGGAATGGCCATTTCTGGCTTATGAGCCATCGTAAGTCAATCATGCTGACCGTGCTGAGGTGGGCACTTTAACTTAATTGTCGCATCTTATTGTCTATTAACCACAGGTCTAGCTTCCCAGAACCGAAATGTCTGTTTTGTATATAGAACGAAGACAGGTTTTAAGGGCGCTCACTGGCCAGACGCCGCTACTTTTCAAGCTATTCAGTACGAAATTACTTGCTGTTATTGGTTAGTTTCATTGTTAAGTCCTCCTACAACGCTTACAACACACTCAGAGCTAGCATGCCTGCAAGAGGAAATATTTATATGTTTCCTGGTTAGCTAAGCTTGTAACGGTTTATTAGCGTTGGACGAAGTACGCCTAGCCATTAATTTAGTTTGTTTTCGTCGCTATTTTCATATTTGACAAATTTTCTCCAGCTGAACTGTTGCGGTGGTGAAAATCCATATTGTGTTATTTTTGAAACTCATTTTCATCTGTGTCTACTTAACCGGCACATGAGACCGCCTATTGATTACTTCAATCACGAGGTCACCCAAATGACCCAGTTTGAATCGCGTTTTAATCCACTTCACTTTTCTTTTTTCACCTTCAGCACTCATAAACATGATGCGCTTCAGCTACGAACCCACAGAAAGTCTCCCCCTATATCCTGGCCAGGTAAGCGCGAAGCTTCACACCACTCTAGTCAACCAAATGTCTAACTATTATTCTCTGCCTTCTCCCTCGGCAGATATTCTACTATAATGCTGGCAAGCATGTCTAAAAAGCTTATTCACATTCTAGGTGTTGGCAACTATTTAACCCTCTCTCACATCGCCCGAATTTTCTTTCACAGATGTACGTCCAATGCATTCTGGTGGTCATCGCTCTCATCAGCATTCCATGGATGCTGTTTTCAAAGCCGTTGATTCTCCGACACAGAAATAAAATTTCACAGCGGGTGCGTTTTCTGTTTTTGTCCGTCTTTCGTCTCTCATCTATCACACTGCCAGTTTCCTATGCAAATTTTATCATCATCGTCCTTCCTTTCCACCACCACCACCACCACCACCACCACC